TTTTTTTTTTTTTTTTTTCATTTTGTTTCCTTGGACGTAGAGTTGCCTGGTCACTTCTTCTTTCAGAGTACTGTTTATCTTTATTTAGCTATTTTTTAAATCTGTAAAGCATCAGAATTCTTTTATTCCATTACTAATGTTGATTATGCTGTCTATTTGTTTGCAATTCCAGGTACAATACCGTATGCATCCTGCATTATCTGAGTTTCCATCAAATAGCTTTTATGAAGGTACACTCCAAAATGGTGTAACCATCAATGAAAGGCAATCAACAGGCATTGATTTCCCTTGGCCTGTGCCCAACCGTCCCATGTTCTTTTATGTTCAGGTATTATCAGATTATTTTAGCTGATTCTTCTTTGTTTTTCGTTTTTTGAGTTGTGGAAAAACCTGTCATTTTTGTTTTGGGATGTTATTGTGATGGTTATGGTTACACTAAAGATTGTTTCTCCTATATAGTTTATAGGAACTTTTTCCTGGTTTACTGATATATTCAAATTTGAATACTTGATTTGAATACTTGGTAATTCATCTATAGATGGGACAAGAGGAGATCAGTGCTAGTGGAACTTCCTATCTGAATAGAACTGAAGCTGCAAATGTGGAGAAGATTGTGACTACATTTCTTAAGGGTGGAGTAGTCCCTAGTCAGGTAAATTCTTATATGCATCTTTAAGGTTGAACACCTTCTTTTTGTGGCGAGGATGTAATTATTTTAAATTCACAGATTGGGGTCATAACACCATATGAGGGTCAACGAGCATACATTGTAAATTACATGGCAAGAAATGGTTCCTTGAGGCAACAACTTTACAAGGAAATTGAGGCAAGCATTAAATAGATGAGCTTTATGGTAGTCTTGGATTCTTAATACTTACTGTGAGTATTTGCTATGTTCAGGTTGCAAGTGTTGATTCATTTCAAGGGAGGGAAAAGGATTATATTATTTTGTCATGTGTCAGGAGTAATGAACATCAGGTTGGTTTGCATATCCATTAATTCTCTCTTTTTGATGCTTCATGTTTTAACATATTCTGATTTGATTCGATCTGTTGAAGATTTATGCATCCTCCTGTGAACCATACCTCTGTTCTTTTTTTCTCTCTAACCTCCCCCCCCCTCTTCTGGTCCTTTTTGGAGTTTGTTTAACTTCATTTGCAAAAAGTTTCAGTTCTTTTTTATTTCGGGGTGCAGGAGGTCGGGTGGAATTTTTGTTAGGCGTTAAGATATGTTTTTGCAATAACTTGCATGCTTAATATATAGTCAGTGTGGATCTCTGACTCTCTTGTGCTTAAGCTTTAATCTATTCCACCAGTTCCCATATTTCACTGTTAAACTTTAAGTATTGAGAACATCTTTTACTTCTCTTTTTAGGGCATTGGATTCCTTAATGATCCACGGAGGCTTAATGTTGCCCTTACACGTGCTCGTTATGGTATTGTTATCCTTGGAAATCCTAAAGTTCTTAGCAAACAGCCTCTGTGGAATGGCTTGCTGACACACTACAAGGTAATTTCTTCAAAATGTTCTCTTGTAATGCTTGTTAGGCATTTTTTCACTATTTCTCTACACTTCGGAGAAGTTATGAACCGGCAAAGTTGGCATAATATCAGGTGGTTAATTTTTTGGGATAATATATCATGTTGAATTTGTTAGGCAATATTGTTACTGTCTGTAGGCTTGGGGACGTATAAAGTAACGTCTCAGTAGGTTTTTCATGCTTTGAGATGCTCACACTTTAATGAATTTGTTTCTCAGGAGCATGAGTGCTTGGTAGAAGGTCCTCTGAATAACTTAAAGCAGAGCATGGTTCAATTTCAGAAGCCCAAAAAGGTACTTATTGTGGTCAAATACTCTTCCAAAGTTATATGTTTGTGCTTGATTATGCATCAGTACTCAGATTTCTTGTAACGTCGTTTGCAGATCTACAATGAGCGCAGACTTTTCTTTGGTGGTGGACCTGGAATTCCAGGTGACAGTTTTGGATCTGCTTCAGGCCCCAACGCTGACAGGAGAAATAGTCGTTCTAGGGGTATGGTGGATCTGAACTTTCCCCCACTGACTGTTAGTTACTTGCTGAGATGTTGTATGATTGGAGCGTGTGTCTCTTTCATCTGATAATGTGTCAGAGACCTGCTTTTGCTTTCTTATTGTACAGTTTTTCTCAAAGAAACTTTGGAGTAACTAGAAAATTTTCATTATTATTATAATCTCATGGAATTTATATATGTATTTGTTTGTTTTTGCTGAGGATATGATTTTATGTGTAGGTTCTTATATGGCACCTGGTGTACCCAACGGTACTCAGAAACCTGGTCTTCATCCTGCTGGTTATCCAATGCCTCGGGTTGCCTTTCCACCTTACCATGGAGGCCCTCCACAACCGTATGCAATTCCTACTCGTGGTGCTGTCCATGGCCCTGTTGGAGCTGTTCCTCATGTTCCACAGCCAGGTAGCCGGGGTTTTGGGGCTGGACGTGGCAATGCCAATGCCCCAATTGGTAGTCATCTCCCTCACCATCAAGGCGCCCAGCAACAGGCCGGAAGTCTTGGATCTAACTTCAACTTTCCTGCATTGGAGAATCCAAACAGCCAGCCTTCTGTTGGAGGACCTTTATCTCAGCCTGGATATGCTTCTAATGTTAGTAAATTTCAGTTTGATTTTTTCGATCAATAGTAGATGATTTGCTGTAAGTATTTTCTCTCTTTTGAATTATAGATTGGTATCCAGGGGCCAGGCCAGACATTTCGGGATGGATATTCTTTGGGTAGCATGTCACAGGTGATTGATTCTGAACATTAAAATTGTTATTTTGATTTAATTTTTCTATCATATTTACCTTAGATTTGTTCATCAGGATTTCGTGGGAGATGATTTCAAGAGCCAGGGGTCTCATGTTCCATATAACGTTGCTGACTTCTCTACACAGGTTCTTGTCCTGCACATTTTCTAGTAATTGTATATTGGGCCTGCACATCACTGCCCTTTTTATGCATAATTATTTGATTTTCTTGCTCCAATTAGTTTGCATAGGCATAGCAATATTAACTGGCCTTTTTTTGTTGGTATTTAGGCTTCTCAAAGTGGATATGCTGTTGATTATGTAACTCAAGGAGCACAGGCTGGTTTTCCAGGGAACTTCTTAAACCAGAATTCGCAATCTGGATACTCCCGTTTTGGTTCAGGAAATGAATTCATGTCACAGGTTAATTTTAATTGTTCACTCCTTTGCCCCTTAATGTCTCAAACTTTAAGGCCTGGAAAACATGTATTTAAATATGTGAGTCTGGAATGTATTTAAATATGAGAGTCTGGAAGTTTTCACAAGTTCATCGTACATGATGGGCTGATCTGTTAGCTCTTCTGACTGGGCGGCTTTGGTAGACAAGTTAATTGAAGTGGTCTCTTATGATTTCTTTTCTCTTGATCTTCGGGTTGAACTTTTGCTTATCGGACTTTTTATTTTTGGTGCAGGACTACATGGCTCATGGATCCCAAGGTCTCTTTACTCAAGCTGGATACAATAACCCGTCGCAAGATGATGGTTCACAGAATCATTTTGGCATGTCCAATGCATCTCTTCAGTCTCAGGTTAGTTTATTAAATAATTCTGCTTGAGAGTTGGCTAAATTACTGAACACGCACAAAATAGGAAGTATGGATTAGGCGAAGTCCACTAGATTGCACAAATGATTCTTCACGGGAATATAATCAGGGGACTTCGCTTGTTAAAAAATATTTTCTTCTTGCTATTAGTTTATTTCAACTAGTCTAATGTGACTTGGATGATTGAGGTTTTCCTTGGAATAGCACTTGAATTTGATTCCACTTTTTCCAGAGTTCGCTTAATCCACTTTACTCCCAACCATTTGCTCACTACAACACGCAACCATTTAACATGCAAAGCCAACCTCAACAGCAGCAAGCCCCACAAGGCCAGGGCTTCCAAAATCAGAAACTTCACTACAATAGTTGAAGATCGCAGGCTTGTTTATGTGATGGGTTATAGTTTGCTTCCAGCAGTTTGGTTTATGTGTCAACGCGTGGACCATATTATCTGACCTAAGATGAGATTAAGAGTTTGCTAATAATTCAGGTCAAATGGTGACATATCCCTTGCCAGTGATTCTGAATGTTGAGTCAGAGGGCTGGAGTGGTGGAAGGCTCTCTGCTCAAGTAAACCATGCACAGCACAACTGGTGCTGAGAAAGGAAAAATAACCCATGTTATCTTCGTGAAGTTTTACGTATTGTTTGAAGAGAGTAATACTATTTCTCCGGGAGAGTAAGGTTACATGGCATGGTATTGGCCGGAAGGGTGGGTTATTCAGGACACGGAGCTTGCTACTTGCGCGTTGGAAGGAGTACAACATTGTTTGAAGCTGCGACCATATCTTTTGTACAGTGTCCAGGCGAAAGTCAGCTAACCCTTTCAGCTCTTCCTGACATGTAGTTAAACTCTTTAGTATTTGTATTACGTGGATAATGACGATAATTATAGATGTGTTTATGTTTCAGCACTTGAGGTATTGGGTATATAAGCAGTTATTAGTCATTTGATTAAACTGGATTGCTTGTAATCCAGTATCATTTTTTTGTGGATTTCTTTTTAGCGTTTTGCTTGGAGTAGTCGGTGAGAAAAGAATACGAGCACTTCAGCTGCATTCGTTCATTTTGCCACTTCTGTGGCATCTCCCGTCTATTTCTGCCTTGCATGGACAGCATATGGACAGTACGGAGATTTGCCTTTCGAGTTCTCAGAAAAACTGTCATGTCAGTGAAAAGAGCTCTATTTTTTTTTTACACTAGCGTGTTTGTTTTCTTGCTTGTTAGCGTTTTTTCCCCGATTGCATGTAGTGCGCTTGACTAGTAAGATGGAGCTTCTTTCGCTTGGCTGAATCCGTTTAAGGCAGTATACAAGTGATTTTATGTTTACGATGTATCCAGATGAAATCTTGCCCTGGATGGATGTCTATTACTAATATGTGATTAATTCAACTGAGGAAAAGTTGGTTACGTTGATGTTATCGTCTTTTGCAAGTTCATGACTTGCATTTGCATGTGCAATGGGCGAAGGGTCTCGTAGTCAGTTGACTGCGCTATCATTTTATTGTAGCTCTTCATTGACGACAAATTTTACTTTGTATTTTTGTGTGAAATTTAAGAACTTTAGCATTTATAAAATAGTTCAAAGTCTGCTAAAGATTGCATAGTATAAATTTGATACTTCTGTTAATACATTGTGGTGATACTTCTGTTGATACGTTTTGGTAATAAAAATCTTAAAAAGTGGGTTTCGCCTAATGCAAAAGAGAGTAGTCTTGAAACTCCGTCTGTTGAGTTTTGAGGTTGCTTTATTGACCCAAAACGAGTAGGCATAGCCCTTTCATGGTTGAAGTTACGTTCATATATTACAACAACAAAAAATTCAGTGATTTTTCACGAGTAGGGTCTAGGGAGGGTAAGATGTATGCAGCTTTACTCCTACCCCTGGAAGGGCAGAGACTATTTCCAATAGACCCTTTGGCTAAAGAACGACTTAAAAAGAAAAGGTAATTGTAACAAGTAGGAATAGTAGCAAGATAAAATAAGATCGAATCCAAGAATGCAGTTAAATTCTTGGTAGTAATAGCAATCTATGAATAAAATGATATCATACTAACACTAATGCTAGCGAACTGAGTAAGACAAAGAGAAGCGCTCGACTACCTACAAACCTTCTATCCTAATCTTTGACCTCCACACCCTCATGTTTAGGGCCATGTCCTCAGTCAGCTCCAGCTGCGCTATGTCCCGCCTAATAACCTCTCCCCAAGACTTTTTAGGTCTACCTCTACCCTTCCTGCTACCCATCGAGGCTAGCCTCTCGCACCTTCTAAATAGGGCTTCTATACTTCTCCTCTTAACATGCCCGAACCATCTCAACCTCGCATCCCACATCTTATCCTCCACAGGGGCCACTCCCACCTTTTCCCAAATAACTTCATTCCTAATCTTATCCGACCGGATATGCCCACACATCCACCTTAACATACTCATCTCGGCTACTTTTAGCTTTTGGGTATTAGAGTTGAAGTTAAGTTCATATATTTGGATATTTAGGTAAGATTGCAACCCACTTCAAGCCTCGCTATAGAGCGCCATGCAAAATCAAACAAGGGCTGAAGTTAGCAAAAGAAATGGGTTATCATGATCTCGAAGTGGAAACATATTGCCTACTTATTGTCATGTTTATCAACGAAGAGTACATACAATCTCATCCTCTTAGTGTTATTATTGAAGATTGTAAGTATTTGTTTGAAGCCAATAAGACTATTATAATTATTACACATCTAACAATTGATGGGCACATACACGAAGAAGATTTGATAATCTAGGAAGCTGCACTTAAGGAAATGAAGTTTTTTCAGTTTGGTGATTCAAGCCATGTAGCATAAGAAAGATTTTAGAGAGAACAACTAAATGAATAAAGGCGCCAAGGCGGACAATGGTTTTAAACTATTAGTTTCACAATTCTATCAATCATCAAAAAAGGAAAATAAGAAAGTCTACAAATTCTACCAATCATCAAGCAGTGAGTGTTTGACATTGCCTTTCCTTGGCCGAGAGTCTAGCAAAAACGACCTCTATCTTCACAAGGTGATGATAAAGTCTGCAAACACACTACTCTTTCAAACCTCACTTGTGAGATTTCACTGAGTTTTTTTATTATACCTGTGCAGCTAAAACCTGCAGAGGACATTGTGAAATGTGAATGTCAGTAAACAATATGAGATTCCAGATTAGATTCATAATGCAACAGAAGTGGATTCCATTAAAACATAGTTACGTTTAGCAATTCACTTAAAACGAACATTCTCTATCTTTTTGTCTTGTGTTACAATTTTTTGTGCTACTAGTTTTAGTGTATCGTGCGTTGCACGTGTTATTCCGTGTAGATCATTAAAATGATATATCAAGATAGTAAATTTTATCATGCGAAATTTCATATGTGCTTAAATATGATGATTGAAGACACATCTATAAAACACACAATGTGATTGATCAAAGGTATTACATATGAATGAGTATAAGAATTTAAGAATCATATAGTGTGTATTCTATATGAACGAATATAAGATTTTAAGACTCATATAAATAATTTTAAGCTATGTGATTGGGTTATATAGTAAAATTTAAGAAAAAAACACTAAGAGCCTGAAAATGATGAATATTGAAAGAAAATATTATGTCACGCAAACATATTTTAATGCCCATAACTTTGATATATGATTGTCAGACAAAGTAGAAAAATATATTACTGAGTTGTACTCAAATATCATGAAACAATACTAGAGTATATTTTTTTATGACTGTAAAAATAAATTCTATTTGCTCAAGTACCTAATATAAATTTTATCTTTTTCTATTGGACTAAAATTAGAATATACGAAAATAAAAAGTGACTCCATATTGTTAGGTCTAGTTATCATGCAAAAAATTTAATTGGATGAATAGACATTTAACCAACTAAATTTATTTTTAGAAAGAAAAAAATGATTGTCATAAAAATTAATATGTTTTTATATTATCCAACATGAAATGTATCATAATGTAGTATACTTCTCAAAAGGTCTAAAAGTCTATTAATATTTTATGTAAATATAATATGTATTCATATAAATCATTACGATAGTGTTTAAAATATTTATTTTTATTTACACACATGTTTATGATTAACTTTTTAATTATAAAATAGAATTACATTAACTAATTAAAAGTTATTTATTGGTAGTATATATTAGTGATACAACATTTGAGTCCTATTGAATAGATATTATCTCAATTCACTAATTATATTGGTCATATATGTTATATTTTATCACTTGAATGGCTTTTTCATGAGAAGAATCTAATTGTTAATACTGATATTCATCATAAATTTTATGATTAAAGAAATAATTTAATAAGGTAAAATCTTAAGAGATTTTAAAGTTCAAGTAATGAAAGATCTAATAAATAAAATTATGTTGATGGCAAGTCCTAAATATTAGGAAAATAAGCAAATGACTCTAGTTATTCTATCTTTTGTCATATTTGAATATTCGGTTTTATTTAGTCTCTTGATTAGTATGTTGACAACACAAAGTCACAAACTGCACTTTTCATCAAGTCATTTATAATTTAAAATTATACATCTATATAAATCATTCATATCATTAACAACTTGTATTTTTCATGTAATAATTATATCATTACATGATATGCATATATATTCTCTGTGACACATAAAATACCAAATATTTAGACGGCAATCTAGCTTTTTTAGTTCCACTGTTTAAGTTTTCTAATAATCACTCCATCAAATTAATTATTGGAGTTTATACTTATATTCAAATTTGAATATAGACAATAACAGGTTTCAGTTGATGCTTAGTTTTTATGTTGGATTAGGATTCATTATCCTTTCTTTTCGATTTCTCATTCCTATTCGTTGAAGACTTGTGAACTAAAATTTACTAATACGATAATGATAATACTACAATTCGACGGAATATATTAATTAATCACGCTATTCAAACAATAACAAATGGTTGATTTCGCAGTTCCTCTCAGAAATAACAATTTATTTGGGATATGCTAAGTTGGTTCAATTGTACTGATAATTCTAATAGTCTTTCGAATATACATAAACCTAAATACTTATGTTCCATAATAAATTATCCGTAAATAGTCAAGGATTTATAGAAACAAAATGTTACTCGATTCTTACTTGATTTTAAATTTCTAAATATTAGTAGTTTTTAGTTTTACCTAATTCAAATAAGGAATGATTTAATGGTCAAAATTTTAATTAATTTTAAAGTCCTAAATATTAGGAAAATAATTAAAATGACTATTTTGTCTAGTGTGAACTCTATTTTTGTAACGCCTCGACCGGTCGTTTTGAGCTCTAGGGCGTCGTTCGGTGGTTCGAGGCCCTGAGTAGCTTCACTTCAGGTATTATGACTAGTACGTGTGGTCGGAATCGAATTTCGAGAAGTTCAGAGTTGAGTTGGGAAGAAAATTCTAATTCCGTAAGCTTTAAGTTGGGAGAATTGACTAAGGTTTGACTTTTGAGTAAACGACCTCGGAAATCGAGATTTGAAAGTCCCAATAGGTTCGTATGATGATTTTTGACTTGGGCGTATGTTCGGGTTGAGTATCGGATCATCCGGGAGTATTTCGGCGTTTATTATGAAAATTTAACATTTTGAAAGTTTAAGGATTTCATAAGTTTGGCTTGAAGTGAATTTTGATGTTATCGATGTCCGTTTGGGATTCCGAGCCTAGGAATAGTTCCGTATGGTGATTTTGGTCTTAGGAGCGTGTCCGAACGTTGATTTGGATGTACATAGGTCATTTCGGCGTCAATTGGCGAAAGTTGGGAATTTGGATGATTTTGAGAAGTTTGACCGGGAGGGGAATTTTTGATATAGGGGTCGGATTCCGATTCCGGAAGTTGGAGTAGGTCCATAATGTTAATTATGACTTGTGTGCAAAATTTGAAGTCAATCGGACTTGATTTGATAGGTTTCGGCGTCGAATGTAGAAGTTTGAAGTTCTAGAGTTTATTAGGCTTGAATTAGAGTACAATTCAGAGTTTTAGCGTTGTTTGATGTGATTTGAAGGCTCGACTAAGTTAGTATCGCATTTTGGGACATGTTGGTATATTTGGTTAAGGACCCGAGGGCCTCGGGTGGATTCCGAATGGTTAATGGATTTATTTTTGGACTTAGGAAATGCTGAAGCTGGGCAGTAGCTAGTGTGACCGCTTCTGCGGA